GAATATATATTTTAATCGTAAAAGATGCATTTAATTATTCAATTAGCCTCTAAAAAAAAAAATTATTAAAAAAATCAATAGCGGTTCTAAAAAATCGGTGTTTCCGAACTTATTGAACACTCTGTATATAAAAATGTCTGGAACATTTTACAAATTTGAAGTTACCATTTTGAATTTTCCATTGTGATCTGATAAAGGGTCAAATTTTCAACAAAAGTATACCAAATGATAGAATGACTTTACAAAAAGTTATGGCAGTTTTAAGTAAAAAATGTTGAATAATAACGAAAATTATTGATTTTCAAAAGTTTAAATTTCCTTCATTTAATGGAAACAGGGGAAATTTTTTCAATTTTAAGGGTAATTTCTTCGAATAGATCCAAATTTTTTATTAATTGACGTATTGTTCATCAAAATCGGTCAAGTGAAANATGGAAACAGGGGAAATTTTTTCAATTTTAAGGGTCATTTCTTTGAATAGATCGGTCTATTGTAAAGAACACAACAAAAAACAAATCATAGTAAAATTAATACTTTTACAGCTTTACATCTAAGCTAAATTACAATGGATATTTAACCAAACTGTTTTTATAATATTTGAATAGTTGTGAATTTTAGACTTATGAAAAATTGTTATAGTATCAAACTGGAGTAGTTTTAACTAGATGTTTTGTTAATATTACAAACATTCTTGTCAAACCGATTTTGTATAGATAATAGTATTATTTGTTATTGTAGCGAAAAGCTTTAAAACAATCTGATAAAATTTACAATATTTTCGATAGACAGAACCATTTAGTAAATGGTTCTGACTTCAATCGTATCGTACAAATCGCTCTTATCTGAGCAAGTCAATATTCCTCGTCTGTCCAGCTACTGTACAAACGCATGTTGTGGATCATCGTCTAATGGCGAAGATTACTACCAAGAATTTAATGAAAAAGTTAGTACTCTACCCGACCATAGTGGACATCTATATCGTAGATCTATACATATATATATATATATATACATATAGGTGAACAAACGATATTCGGGTGGCCGGCCACTTAACTTAATACACCAGTACCGTCTGGTACTTATTTGAGCATCAGCGTCTAATATAGAATACCACTAAAAAGCGATAATCCAGCTGAATACCGCTCAATATAAAACCGGACCCATACGACATCGGTAGCTAATGAAATACCAACTGTCAAGAGCTATTGTCATTATGAACAGTGTGATAGTAACTATAACAATGTAAACGCATACTATCACTCTGTATTAATATCATGAAAGTAGAACAACTATTTTAAAATATAGAGTGGAGATGAGGTGTAGGTAATGTTATTTTTAACGTTTTTGTGTCGTGCTTTTCCACCGCTCCTTGACTTCCTTAACGCAGTTTATATCAATTAAAAAATGTTTATTGGTCAATTTAAGTGATGGCGCACCTCAAGTCGTCACCTTAACGCAATAGTCCAGTTGCGATATTTGCAATTAGTTCCCAGATTGTTAATCATACGGAATCTTCATTTTGTCCCCTTACTGGCTTCCTCAGTTATATTGAAGTTTCGTTAGATTGACAGTCGGTGTAAAAAACCTGTTAAATCAATAAGGAAAAGCTGACCCCAAATAGTATGGATAGAGGCTAAGGAGATGATGATTTTCAAACAAGCTCTTTAAATCGCAATGAGTGACAATAAAAATCAAATTTCACAATCAAACTTTTATTTATTTGTATATGTAGAACAAAATAGGGAGCGTACTTATTTTAATTAACAATTGTTTCTTTTTATTGATATATATTAATTTAAAGATGGGAGTACATTTTTTGAGCAATACAAAATTTAAACGTAACATAAATGAATATAATTCTTTAATTACACACTTACAATTAAAATTTACTGTATTTTTATTATGGAATTCTTAATTATTAAAGACAGTATATCACTTAAAAAATTGAATTGTTTTATCCATATTTATTTTCGTATCACAATAAGTTTTTCCTGTCTCCTCGATATATCTGAATCCAAGATTAGTATATTTTATTTGAATAAATTCATCGACACCATTGAGAATGAAATCAGAATGTAACTTTAAATGATTACGTTCTTCTTCGGTTACTTCAGTATCATACGATTTATGTTGATACTTTATATCCAAATCATAATAAGAGTTAATCATAGAAATATTTGGTTTCAATTTAAAAAATTTCAAAATAAGACTTTGTGTTGACGAAAAAGTATTATTTAAAATGCGGAAAACTTTATTGTATGAACTTTCCATATTGTTAAAATTTGGTCTGAATTTATTAATAAATTTATTATATTTTATCAATGTTTCAATAACATTTGTTAAGAATAGCTTTTGAACAGTTGTATTTAATTTGTTTATGTAATTTAATGCGCTTAAAAATTTTTTTGTTAGCTCCTTCAATTTTGTCA